GGTGTTGAAAGAAAAAATCCATCAGACACAGAGACTTGAAATGAAGAAATATTTTCTGAAGGTAGGGTTTTATTTTCTTAACTACTTGAAATACTTGCACATGAATGTATGCATCAACATTCAAGTAGGCTACATGTAACCCGCTGTTCCATACAAAGATATTTCACAAATTACAACATTTGTATGAGGTTAACCTGTTATAGCACCAGCCAGTTCATTACAGTATGTATCTTTATGTCATATGTTATATTTTATAGGTTATTATGAAGCTGAAATGAATGCAAGCACATGAACATAAATGTGTAGTTCATCAGAATGTCTTTGATAAAGAATGATGATAGAGGTCTGAATATTTTAGACTATGTATTTGAAAAGGAGCATGTTTATTCCATGGCATTGATTTCATATTGTTTTCTCAAGGTTTCTCTCCCATATATGTACTTGGGTTTCATGCACAGCAGGGCCCTCGATCTGTGCACCATAGAGAAAAACCAATAGACATTGAGGTTTTCTTGCTTTTGTTCTTGTGCAGCGTCAATAGAACATACTGTACAACATGTGCATTGTACGAACGATTGTGATTGTGGACATGCATGCAGAGGCACTCGTGCAGGCAATTTTGTGAGCATGATTCTATTTGTAAAACTTGTTGCAGCTGTACGTTTTCCCTCGAAACGTGTGGTTTTGTGTCTGCACCGTTCTGTCTGGCAACTTTGTGAAACAGATGTCTCAAATTTGGCACGTTTGTATTCCACATTTCTCAAAGAAAATGTAGGTAAAACCATATAAATTGTAACTCAAAGATATAGCAACATTGTAATAATCTGTTTATGTGAATGTATGTAACAGCTGATAAATATTTTGAATTCTAAAGAAGTACATGTAATTTCACACCAAACACAAAATATTTTGGTGTTTCGGAATGTTAATTTTTTCTGCATGTAATAACAAAGAAATTCACATCATGGTAACTTTGCTATTGTACAGGCCTACATGTACATGAACATGTGCATCCAAGTTCTACATTTCTTACCATAAAACCCTGCTTTTTCATGTTTGCTTGATGGAAAAAACACTCTTTTGTATTGATGTCATTTTGAGAGAGAGGGAAAATTCTCTGAAAACCTCATCCAGATACATACGTACACTTTCATGTTGTCCTACAATTTGCATGAATACATGATGCAGTTCAGGTACATTTATATTTAAATAGCCCCCTTTCATGTTTGAAAACCGTCATGGCTCTTAATCCAAGTATATCAATATGATAGAGACGCCATGAGTCATCTCACAAACATTTGTCCTGGGTATACATGGGTGGGTAAGCTCTTCAAATTGAGTTCTTGAGAAACAAAAAAGATTTATTGCTCTGTGGCTGTGCAACGGGCTTTGGACTAACAAAGTCCCAGACTTTGCTTTGAGTAAATGCAGCTAGTGTATCATGTTTTGGTATTAAAGCTCAGTCATTATACAGTAAAGTTATTTTATTACAGTATTTGGGTACACATCCTGTATCTTTGCGTTCCCTAGTTTGATATTTGATGATCAGCTTCATAGCTTTTTTATGGCATGGCTCGGAGATTGCATAAATTCAAGAGAAATGAGAAATGTTAAATGAAAATAATACAGTGTACTGTACATGTATATCCATGTCTTTGAAATTAGTATGATGAACATGATTTTATTTTTGAAATGAAAATGGAATTATGCAGTATTGCAGTGCTAATTGTTGCACAAGTAATACAACTGTATATATCCTGGGTTCCACATTAATTTTTTTTTTGTGGGGGGGGGGGGGGGATAAGAAGGGAGGACGTTCACATGCATCCCTGTTTCCTTCAAGTTATGTTTTTTTTTATCAGATTAGGCAGGGTAGTTTTTTATTTAATGATTAAAATATTGTATTTACCATATGTACACATTGATCTCATTAAACGACTACACACGATTTTATGTGAAATCTGTAGAATGCCAAACACTCATGAAAAACAAACAAGGGGATTGAATGCATAACTTTGTTTGATCAGGTTAAGGTACATTTTATTGCAGGAAATATGAGGCATGGGAGATAAATCTTACCAGAATTTTAAGGATGGAAATTGACTTTACTTGCAAGCATATAAAGTGTTATTTTTTCCATTTAGATTTTTTTGGATGCTCACCTTCATGTCATGCATATAGTATTTAAATACATTGCTGTCTGTATTTGCACCAAATCTGTGAGGTTTTACTTCAGAAACTCTAAATATTGAGGAAGTACTCTTTCACAAAAATCTGTCTGGCTGTCTATCATGTGAAATTTACAGAAGTGTGACAAATACATTTCTTTGAAGTGGAAGGAATGACAAACCTATACATGTACATGTAGGAAGTCTGAAGACTAAGGAAATGTACTTCAGAATCTGTTTGAACTTTTAAGTGACATTAACAGATGCTCATGTTTTCTGTATGACGTAAATGTTTTTGAAGTGCAGCCTGCAGTCAATATGTGTATTGCACAAAGGCCCTCAGGCTTATTTTAAAGCAAAACATTTGTGTCGATAGATAGATTGGGGAGGTTATGCTGTGACTATGAATGTAGGAATGGCTAAATGAAGCATTACATTGAGAGTGGGATGATAAAGGCCTATGCCAGTGTGTACAATCATATGTCACAAGAAAACAAAAGAATTAACCATGCATATCTCAACAATACAACATGTAGCCTTGGTGATGTACATCATACAATCCTACATGGTATACAGCAATCATATACAATCCATGTCAAAAATAACATCCCTCCGTCTCATTTGTACGATAATGTAGGCATCATCGTTAGCAGGAAAGTATGGCTGGTAAAGTAATTAAAGCAGTTCCAGCAAAACTCTTTTGTTGTCAGGATACATATTTCCTAATGTTGATTAGTATTATTTGGCGACCAGTTCCTTCCTTGATTGGAATAGAATTTCAAGCAAAGCTTCAACTTCAATTTAATGCTTGCCACTGTATTAATGAAATTGTATATTTGAGTCTTTTTACATACACCTGTATATACATGTATACAAAGACATTTCATAAATGCTAATACAGACCTGCTTTCTGCTCAAAGGATTCTGTTGTGTATTTCTCAGCATAAAAGACTTGGTATGGCATTATTATTATTGTTATTTATTCAGCAAGTAAATTACCGTAGGCTTCCAAGGTGCTCCTGATTCAAACTGTCTCCCTTTCTCTTGTGTTCTGCATCTCTGATATTTGCATGAAAGACCTGTTTAAACATTACAGTTTTATTGTAGAAAAAAGCATTGATAATTGTTTTACCTGACTGCTATTAGAAAGCATGTACATGTATGCTGGTAAATAAATAACCAAAGGACCGATGGTTTTAAGTCCTCGAGGGACTTGGTAATGATTATTAATTCTTTACCAAAGGGCACAAGCGCATTCACTTTTTTTCGAAGCCAGGATCTCTCAGTTACTCTACCACTGAGCAATTGCGGCTCCTCGAACACATGAATATAATTTCTTATACAGTTGGACAGATGGTTGTCTCGGTTTTTGTTTATTAACGCAACTTAAGTGAACGGGAAAACTAGTCTCAATTTGTTTTCAAGCTTCAAGTATATCGAGTCCTTTCATTCACTTCCAGCCTTTTCACCTTCTCATGAGGCCTGTCCTCACTAGCTCGATATATCTCAATCGCAAACTATCCAGTTAATTTGCGTCTTCATCAGCCGGAAGTTGCAATAAGCGGGATATTTTGGTCGGGATTGTCATCCCAAGATATCTTAGGATAGTTTGCAAAATATCCCACTATTTGGCAAAATATCCCACTATTTGGCAAAATATCCCACTATTTGGCAAAATATCCCACTATTTGGCAAAATATCCCACTATTTGGCAAAATATCCAGCTATTTGTCCTGTGCATCTTTACCAGACCGAAGACTCGCACTTTGCGGGAACGCTAAGCAAAATATCTCGAGCTAATTTCTCAAGGTCGAGTTTCAAGTTTCTAGGTCGAATCTCGAGCTGATGAAGACGCGATTTGTAACTTCGGGATTATTTCCCAAATCAGAAATAGCGGGCTATTTGGCAATCTCGAGATGATGAAGACGCGCCTACAGATTAGAGTCTGAACAGTACATGGTACACAATGACTGAGAGATGACTTGTGGACACTGATGATGTAATCCCTGTATTGTATTCACTTTCAAGGGTGTGATGAGCACTCTTCATCAAGTACCTTTCTATTGTCAACAAGGTTAAGAGTTTCCTTTGTTAAAGGTGCTTTTAAGTGATTGTGGTCATTCTTAGCGTACAATAGTTACAGAGCAGAGTGCTCAACTTTCACCTCTTGAGCCTGAGTTAAGTCTATTTGAAGTGTTGTACAATATACAGTACTTTTTGTGTTATTCTACTAATCCTCTTCACATCAGTGCAAGTGACTGTTCTTACTTTGCACTTATATAGTCTTATCCTCATCATCATCAACTTCAAGTGGCGCTGTAAAGCGCTGCTGTGGTCTTCAAGAGAGCACGTCATGCAACTCTTTCACCTGTCATTTGTGTTGCACCTTTCATTCCTTGTCCAGACACTTTCTTGATATCATCAGTCCAAGATATTGTTGGACGACCTCTACCCCATTTTCCTTCGACTGCTCCTTGCAGTATTTGCTTTTCAACACCTTCAGATCTCCTAACAATGTGCCCACACTTTATAAAACTTATCAGTTTTAATCGATTTTAGAAGAAATACATTTACATGTACGTTTTGAAATACCTTTTTATTTGATCCATGTAATTGGCCATTTTGTGTATCGGTCATTCTTTTGTAATTTTTGTAATCTCTTTTTTTTCGTAAATATATATATTTCTAATATTTAAAAGGTAGGTACAAAGTTAAAATGTATACATATGTCCTACATGTATGTACCTGTTCGTGGAAGACGTGTAACAATGCCTTTGATTTTATACATGTATTTTTTATACTTGTCATATTTTTGTCTCCTCTCCTCTCCAGATATCTAACTCATAATGAGTGAACCAGCTCAAGAAGAGGGCTTTAGGGAACCTGACCCTGGCGAAGTAAGGGTAAGAAACACCTCTCTTTTTACTTTAGAAGGAAAATTACCACCCCCTCAATCTCCCAAATTAGTCCACCTTAATTGATGGAAAATTATAAAAGGAATGAAGCTTAGTTGATATCGGTGATGCTTTTGAGACTGCAAATACAATACAGAACCCCCAAAATAATATGAACAAAAATTGTAGAATGTAGATCTATAGTGTATATTAATGTAACAATGTAATCTAAATGAATTTTGTATTTCATAGAGCTTATGCCTCCTGATTAGGCTGATATCACGTCTGCATTAAAAAATGTTTTAATATTATTCATATTTTACTTTTGCAAACTAAATGCTGTTACAGTTATTGGTGTTTAAATCGAAATACAGGGTACCATTTGAAATGTTAATGCAAATTGCGGCTAATTATGTTTTGATAATACACACTTAGATACAGGATGCAAATACCATAAGGAAGGGATTAACAAAGGGAATCTGGGGAGTGTTTCACAAAGACTAAAACCGACTTTAAAGATAAACTCCAGTTCTGGTAAAAAAAAGGAAATTAATTCTCACAGAATCAAATGAAACTTACACTGAATGTTAAAGATTACAAATAAATGACATGTGGGAAACAATTTTGGAAGAAAATGTATACTGGCTGAGTAATGAGCATAGAAAGACAAGGAAATCAAGGTAGTACTAGCCCCGACACCATGTGTGTTGTCCCATATATAGCTTTCTGTGTACAGTGCTTGTTACTTTACCAAGACTCGGTCAAATTTATTTTGATTTTGATGACTCCAGAACCTTGCAGTGCAGACCAATACTTACATGCTACATGATCAACTGTTTCTGATCCTTTCCACACCTTTTCTTTTACAATGCAATCGCATTACCAGTACTAAAGTTTATCTTTAAGTTGGACTTTAACTATGGCAGGCTGTTCATGCGAATGTTTGCTCTCACCATTATGATCTTCAGCTTAAAAAAAAAAATCTTTAATAACGAATTATCAAAAAATATAAATTCTTTAGATTTGCGACCATGATTTGTACGTCCCTTGAGGGACCAATGCCAGTAAATGGTCAAGTCATGACTCCACGTGTTCAATGTTAATTAAAAAGACTTTGTTTTATTTCATTGATTGCAGGATGATGAGACGATACCAGAGCCCATGCCTAGCGACCGCTCCGCCCCTCCCAGGAACAACTCTGCTAACTCCCCTAGGAGACCAGTTACACAGAAAGGAAAGCTGCAGAAAGTCACCATCGTATTATTGGATGAAACAGAATTTTACTGTGATATTGAGGTGAGTTGCAATCAGAATTATCAGCCCCAAAACGCTGTAAAAATAAAGATTTTGTTTGTTACTATTGTCATAGCATATTGACAGAGTTAGTTGTGACATGCACTTCTACGCATACTGGTGACATAACCAAATCTCTCTAAGCTACTTTTATTGGAATTGTTAATGATGACCATTTTTGTTGCATGAACATTTTGTGAAAGGAAAATTAAAAAGAAAAAAGAGGAGAAATCACGTTATGATTCTAATATTTAGCACCTTAAACTTTCACAAATCTTCATACACAGGAGAGCTCCTGTTTAAGTGTATTTGTCAGAGAGTTTATGCATACAAGCCATTTGCAGTATTGTTCTAACCAGCTCTTCTTTTTTTTTTATTCAGGCTTACTTTTTAAAAGGCCAATTTGGTAAAATTTTTTATAATTTTTTGAGTTTTAAATAATAATGGTTTCCTGTACAGTGCATCCAAGAAAAAACAAAACCGCAAATTATTAACGTTTTAGCATGGCTGCCATTACGGTGGTCTACCATTTCTAGGATTTAATTCCTGCCAGGTGCCCATTTACATCACCTGGGTCGAGTGTGGCAAATGTAGATTAATGTCTTGCCAAAGGACATGAGTGCCGCGGCGGGACTCAAACAGAGGACCATGTGATCCAAAGTCCGGTGATGCATCCACTCGACCACAACACCTTTTTTGAGTTATTAGAGCAGAGTTAATGAATAGATTGACAATACCAGCCAGCAATGACTCATAACTTTGTCAATTTGCTCTGAGAAAGGATCTAGATTTAAATTCAATGAATTCAAATATTTATATGCCCAAATTAGATGCTCATAAAACCCTTTAACTTACATTAATCAAAACTTAATGGTGCATGGAGGAAGAGAGTATGGTAGGGCTAATAGAGACTCAGTACTTCCCGTTAGCTTGATGTGTCAGTAATATGAAGATTGATGATTGAAAGAAAATTGGGTATCATTCATTCGTCATGGTTTCTGATTAAATTTGCTTTTCCAAACGAGTCTCATTACTTTTTGCCACGTGGTACACATTAATGTGTGCATGGCTCTAATTAAAGGGATCCGGTAACTTTGTCTCAGATTCTGAAACAAAATTCTGGATTTAGCTCATGATGCAATGATAATTATAAACCTTTAGGTCAGTCAGGAACCCCATGACTTTTACAAGCCGATCGCCTGTCTGATTATCAAGATATTTATGATTGGAATTACAAATTTTGAAAACCGTTCGCCTGACGGTTTTCATAACACTACAGTCTATTGAGGAAAACGAGTATGGTAAAACCGGTCACTCAAAGATTTTTTTTACCTTTTTGAGGCACTTCTTGATCATTTTGAAGCGCAATTTTTTTAGGACTTCAATATTACACCATATCACAGACACTGATAATATGTAGGGCCATGTATCTCAGATTTAACATTGTTAAACGATCCCTTTAACGCAAACATACCCTTTCACATGAAAGTAACAAGCAGGGTCGAGACCATGCTTGTTCTGTGTCCAAAAGTGAGAAATCAAGAAATCATGTCATCATTACATGTATGTTATTAATCTGTTTATGGCTTAATAAAGATAACCTCCATACTGGGAAGCGGTTCTTGGTTTTACGACTCATGATTTAACGATGATCGCTCCGCTATCATTTTTCTACACTTGCTGAATTCCTGATGTTGACGTGTCATTCTTTATAAAGAAAGTCACTGGCAAAACGTGTTGTCATTGGTTGTATTCACAAAGATTATTCAACTTGTAGACTATTTTTTTTTTGGGGGGGGGGGATGTGTTCATGGTTCATTTCAAGTTTGACAAGATAAGTATGACTGAAATTCAATGTGATTTAGATTGTTCTTTCTTTTTTCCCCTGGGAAACCATCCAGGTCTTCTCACTACAATCCAGCCCAATTAGGCAAGGATTTCGCACCACACCTTTATCCATTGAAGGCTGTACAAATATTTTCCTTTCTCATCTATAATAGCTTTTTCTTTCTACCACTCCACAATGAATACATGTAGATACAACTCTCTACAAGAAAGACAGTTTCCACTGCTTTTTTTATTAAGGGAAAATAATTAGAACGTGTGGATTGCCCATGCCCGTGAAAATAATGATTTGGTTTATAGGGATTTGGTCATTTTGGTGATAGGAATAGCATTCATTTTGGCAAGATTAATTAGGGATGTAAACTAAATTTCACACAAAGGTATGACACATGTATCTGTTCAAGTTACTAATTACACATTTCATGATATTCTTATTACTACTTTATCTTTTCTGTTAAATGGCTCATTGAGCAAATTACTGTAAGCGCATTGCTTTTTTCTTCTTCTGTATTTGCAAGTAAGCTCAACTTGTAATGTTATTTGTAGCATTCTGTCAAAACATTACTTTCATGGCTTTGGAAGTTTGAATGTACAACTACATTGTAAATTGCGCCATCTTTCTAGTAGAACTATTCTGAGGCACATTATGAAGCTGAGAAAGTAAGAAAGGAGAAATAAGGAGAAAATACAAACGAGACTTCAGGATAATACATGATGTATCATACCGGCTATGTATAGAGCTGACTCGCGTACTAATGGCTTACATGTAAGCCAGATGCACCTGTGTATGTGCTACCTCAGGCTTGAGATATTTTGGGTACAGTATGTATTTGAGACTGAGGTACATGTACATGGGGATTAATGTATCTACCATCTGTATTGGTGAGATCAAAGAAAAGGCAGATGGCAGCTCGATCAAGAGTTAGAAGCTATAAGATATGAGTGGTATCTAGGCTGTAGAACATAGCGCTATCTTGGAGAGAAGCTTCTGCACAACTCACTAACTCCTTGGCTTCACACAGTTGTCTGCCGTACATGTTTGGTGTTAATGTATGTGCTGTGTACTACATGTAGTACATCGATGCTTGACCAAAACAACATTTTAACAAGTATGCACAATTGTTCTATTTCATCAGAGAACGCACTTGTTGACGTTGGATGTAACAACATATCATTGCTTGTAAAATTACTCAAAAAACTTCAACTTTATACTGGTGGCATTTTGTCATAGCGGTTAATGGGATCGCTCAACATTCAAAGGGGTAATTTCATAATTTAGGGACCCACCCGTGACACTTTTGGTGTCCCTGTCACATGTAAGGAACCCACACATATTTGTGGCTCTGAGTAAAGACTTAAATAGTGGAGTGAGATTGTAAAGTGATTTCCAAGCATAATATTGCATCCTCATACCTAGAATCACTTTACATCTCCACTATTTAAGTCTTTACTCAGAGCCATCAATATGTGTGGGTTCCTTATGTAACAGGGACACCAAAAATGTCAAAGAGTGGGTCACTAATTTATGGAATTACCCAAAACCGTATTACAGACTTGCTAGCTTGTCTCACAAACATGTACTGCCATGCAGTGTATCAATGTTACAAGGAATGGGAGATGTCGATCATGAGCACACTAAGTAATCATGCAGACATACTGAGAACTGGTAGCAGTCTACGCCAGGGCTTACTAACAATGTTAGTCTAACATACCTCACTGCGCTGACAAAAATAGGCATGATAATGATGGCAGAAGCCAGGATCCAAAATCTTAAAGGATCTTAAAGGATCCAAAAGAGCGCCAGGAAAAATTACTAGTACATGTCCCTAAAATTACCTGCATGCGAGAAATCTGGAATATTCTACAGAAGTTGAGAAAGGGCTCATTATGAGTCGATACTAAACAGTAGGAGGTAACAGTGCATAAGATGATCTCTGTCTACATGTAATCTATAGTAGATGTGGACCTTGTGTTTGTCAATAGACAAACAAAAAACAATACATACAGTTGTTCAAATTTTTCAAGAGCATTGCAATAAATACCCAGGGCTGTCGTTTAAAGCCGGTAACCGGTAAAACTTGCCGCCTATTCACTCGTTTCTTACCGGCTATAATTCCTATAATAAACCTTGCAAAAATCACAGAAAGTAGATCTAAATCAATGCTAATCCAAAATTTCCTTAATTTCGTCCAAGATATAATTAGTGCCGCACATACACGGCCGCAGTCGACGAAATCCCTTACGATCATGAACGCGACGTCGTCCGTACTTACCTAGACCTATCTATCTAATGTTACATCGCAGTTCTCCCCCCACAGCGCGGCGGCCAAGCCCGCCCGTCCCTACCCCATTGCGATCCCGATGTGCAGGCGAGAAGACGATGCACTGCACAAAATATATACACACTGATCATAACAAAATTGAAGCTAGCTCGCTGTAACCAAACTATCCGTTGCCGATTTGATATTTGAAGATCACGGAAACCGGGGCCTATACACGTGCGTGCAATGTCTAGAGACAACGTCCTTTAGATTCTGAGATGCGCAAATCGGCAACAGAGTTTTGAACTTGGCTGCTAGCTCGCATGATATATGCAGGCTCGCGCTCCGCGAATATTCAAAACTAACTATTCTTAAATGTATTCAATAATTTCAAGTAAAAAAAAAATAATTAAATGAGAATTCATATGGGGAGCCAAATAAAAGTCACAAGTAAAAAAAAAATCAAAATCTAGCCTCTGCTGCCCATTATTTAAATACTGTACATGTATTCAACAAATCATGATGTAGAAAGATTGAGTATGGTGCATCATCTGAGTTTAATTAAAAATTACAAAGTAATGGTACAAAGTGATAAATAATTATCAACTTAATAACTTTTCTTATGAGTTATGAATGTTCATGTAATATTAAACATGAACAATATGTGTGTTTATTACAATATATGTGTAATACAAGGTAGGAAAGATAACTACAAATTTTCTTCTTAGTTATGCACCAGATTGCACGATTTCAAGTGGAAAATCCCAAAAGGTCCCTACCGTGGGAGGGGGGACACCCCTCCCACATCCTCCCCCCCTCGGTCGCTTCGCTCCCTCGCAGTGATGGTACCTCCTATAAAATTCAAATTACCTCCTTCAAAAATAATTAACAAGACCTCTGAAATACCGGTAGATGTTTGTAAGTCATGTAGTGGTTGTCTCTTGTTATGTTTACTTCACTAGTCTCATCCAGGCCTATATGTATTTGTAATTGATATGTCCTCTCCAATATATTTTGAATGAATAGTGTCATGGAAATTATGTTTTCCTGAGGAGGGTTATTGGATTTGTGAATGAGGCGCAATGTAAGGCTGTGCACAACCGTGTAATTTACAAGCTAATACTCGAATATTTATTTTTTTAATTTTTTAATTTTTTTAAAAATTAAAATATTTTTATTTTTTTTACCTCGAGTTGCAGTTGAAGGTGCCGATTTACCAATAATAATAACAGTAAACAATGCTGTTTTTAAAACCACAGATGCCAGAATAATCAATTTTCCTCCGAGTCCAAACAAAAATCCGGACATTTGGTCCCAATTTCTGAGTGGTGAGTTTGACAGTGATTGAGCTGGGTGGCTGGCGCTCTCCCTGGCACGGGTGAGCGTCGGCCTGGACAGTGCCAGGTGACCGGGAGGGGAATTTATTTATTTATTTTGTTTTTTTTTGCGGCCGAATATTCAAGTACGAGAAATCGTACTTGAGTAGTTGTCAACAGTGCGAGTACTTGAGTATTCGACTACTTGTCCCAGCCCTAGCGCAATGTATGATTCTGGTATTCTGGTGCCATAGATAGAAACAGGGTCCAGATTCTCGAAACCGTCATAAGTCTAGATTCGTGGACATCCCGTAGAAAAACAGTGTTAATTCTATAACTCTTGTTTCCATGGAATTTCCAAGAAGTTAGACTTATGACGGCTTAGAGAAACTGGCCCCTGATTTTTATTTGCAATCGTTTAAGCTTTTATACCTTGAAAAGTATCATTAATTTTATGTTCCCTTCTTTTTTTCTTCTTTTATAGAAACGTGCCAAAGGGGAATCACTGGTAGACCTGATATGTGATCACATGGACATCGTTGAGAAAGATTACTTTGGCCTTACTTATAGAGACTCACAAGACTGCAGGGTAAGTAGAATTATAAAGAATTTAGAGGTTTACAAGATTTTAGGGTAAGTAGAATTACTTTGGCCTTTGTACTTATAGAGCCTCACAAGATTGTAGGGTAAGCAGAATTACTTTGGCCTTCGTACTTACAGAGACTCACAAGATTGTAGGGTAATTTATTTTACTCAAGTGACATCAAATAACTTATTAATAACAAGACAAGATGATATAAGACGGGACATATTGTTTGTCTGAAGACCTGAAGAGCGTTAACGCTGTGTTGAAATATACCAGCTAACGTCCTTCTGGCTCCAAACAGAGGATATCAAAATGATAATAGACTTATCACAAAGAACAGCCTTGAAGATGTAAAGGATTTTTTTGTGTAAAAACAGAGAGAGAAAGAAATGATAGAAAGACTACATGTACATGCTTAAAAACGTAATGAATTCCAAGCAGTCAATTAATCAAAATACAGTCATGTATAAAGGGAGAACTCCATGTGATTGCAATGCCAGTTGAGACAAATGCATGCAATTCTGTGCAATCCATGAAGGAAAAAGAAGAAGATACCTATCAGTGTATTGGAGAGAAGGATCAAGTAATTAATCAAAGGAGTATTCGGATTGACAGAAGGAAGGACAGATGATAAGAAGGAGGGATGGAGGATGAATTGATATGAAACCCGACTACAAGCCCACAACGACTTCTAATCATTGAGATGCAGTCTCGCAGTCTCAAAATGTCATGTCGATTTCTCCTCTCGAAAATTGAAGCTATCAGCATAATTCCAGTAACCCTGAGAGCTACAAATTGGCCATGACGGAAGTAGGAGCATTGCTTGTTAGGCCACTTCCTTAGGCTGTCAATCTGTTGATTTGCACCTAGAGGCTCACTGCAAAGTTATGCTTCTGGAAATGTCTTGCAGACTTGTGCAAGATCTATGAAACTTGGCGAGTGTTTAAAATGTATCCTTCAGATATCGTGTGAAAGATTTCACAGTCATAGGTTCTGTAACTTCTTTATATGATATGAAAATCTAGCGCTTTTTCCATTTTGCCGCAGAGGGAGCTATTCTCAAAATGCCAGAAACAATGATCTAAATGATCTTGAATTAGGTACCGATATTTTCAAGTCTAGAAAATAAAATATCTGGAATTCAGCATTCAAATTTGTTGTTTGGATAGCCAGTTTCCATTTTTTTCTTCATATCTTGTTGGATATGTCAGGAGATTGCTGGTACAGTAGTATTGATCTCAATCTCCATAGAGGTGTTGTAACGTATGGCTTTATATCCAGTGTGATATTAAATCTGAGTCATCAAATATTTATGCTTTTTACCCCCTCAGACACCCACTACAAATCCTTTATGTGTGATGAAAACTGGAGGTTTTTTTGACACGATCATGTGTACTTCTCGCCGCTCTTTTATTGCTTATTTTGGTTTCCTTGAAAGAAAAAAAAGGATGTTGAAAGAAAAATATTATGTAATTAATTTGTATTGTATAATTTTTTTCTTCAGATCGGTGTGAGGAGTATTTTTGCTGTTTAGATTCAGAAGTGCTTTTTCTTCATTACTATGAACAGATAACGTTTTTAACAATGCGATAAAGTATGTTTCTTTTTATTTGGTTTCTTTTCCAGAATTGGGTCGACCCTATAAAGGAATTGAAGAGGCAAATGAAGAGTAAGTACATGTACATTCTATGCCAACTGCCTAATCAATTAAGATTCAGTACTATTCATTTCATTCCTTATTGAATTCAGATGTGTACATGTATGCAGCAGGGGAAAAACTCACTTGAAATAATAATACAACAAATAATAAAAATATTTATAAAGCGCAACATATTCATCTCTAGAGATGCTCCAGGTGCATACAAATAATCCTGGAATTTTTTGAAAATCCTTGAATTTCTTGAAATCCTGGAATTTCATGTAACTTTTCCATTGGGATGTACATGTACATGCACATGTTTATAGAATCCATCATGTTTTCTCAAGAAAGGCGTGGCCTTTTTAGTGGATAAACTATTACGACAAGACAATTCTATGTTCCTCTGTGAAAGTATAGTAAAGCAAACACAGCTACTCCGATCTCGGCAGTTGCATGAATTACGATCCAGTCATCTTTCTGTGTTGGTAACAATTTCATGCGCACCCTTCTATTATTCCAAATATAGACTTGCATGTGAATTGTGCATATAATATGTATTGGTAGATCTATGCTGTAATATTATGCAGTGGTTGTCCATCGTAGTCAGTCATCCATATTAAATAGGCAGCGCCCTGAGTATGGTATGACTGTCGATGGTCCAGCGTCTCCGCTGATGCTTCACCTCGCCACTTATCCACCTCACTTCATATTGTAAGCTAGACTCCTTCAAGGGACTCCCACAATTTTCCTCCAAGGTTATGGCCACATAGCTACAGTAGCCTCCTTCAAGACACTTCTACAATTTCACTCCAAGGTTATGGCCACGCTGTCATGCCTTGTCATCAAACAGAATATAGATAAAAAATATTCTTTGATCTGTAAAATAGTCATAATAATAATATTCTGCTTTTATATAGAGCTTAATAATACATCTTGTCTCGAAGTGCTATACAGATAGTATCGGTATTGACCCCCCCAGGTTTATGGATATGGCGTCATGATTTATTATCAAACAAAACTACTTCATATGGTAAGCTAGCCTCCTTAAAGGCACTCCGACAATTCAACTCCAAGGTTATGTCCACACAGTCATGCCTTGTCATCGAACAAGATTCAAAATTCAAGATTTATTCATTCTATTCAATAAAAAACACATATGTACATTAAATATATTACAGGTGTAGAAAAGAAATATTAATGATACAAACATGAGAAGGTCACTTATCAACACATACAAAGGAAAATAAATCAAACAGAATATAGATTACAAATATTCTTTGATTAGTAAAATATTATTTCATTAGATTGGATTTTCCCCAAGGTTTATGGATATGGAGTCATGATTTATTGTCAAACAAAATGTCTTATTTTTGTTTAGCTCGATTGGAAAATGGTGGTTTTGAATTTAAGTCGTAGTTGGTTAAGGACGTGCAGTCATCCTTTTCAACATGCTAAATTATGAAGCAGAATAACTGCTCAATACTCTCCTTGAATTGGAAAGTAGTATTTCCAATTTAATCCCAAGGTTTATTGACATGTGAAATCATTATATATCATCAGGCAAGATACAGACCTTCAAAATGTTGCTTTGATATGACAAAGTAGTAATTGGATTATATATTTCATTGCCATGAAATCATGATATATTATACATACAAAATATTGACAAGCTTTGCTTTGGATTTTAAAGAGTTATTTAGACAAAGTAGTGATTGGATTAGATATTTGATTGACTTGAAGTCATGATATATTATCAATTAAAATATTGATGAACTCTGCTTTGAATTTCAAAGAGTATTTTAGATTGAAAGGATTTTTTTTTATACAATTGGGGGAAAGAAGAGGATTATTTATAGGGGAGGGTTAGACGAGAAATACTGGTAAGAATGGTGATGTATCACTCAGAATGCATTTTCCAAATGAAAAAGAGATAGAAAGGCTGGCAGGTGTAGCGGTAGATGTTCAAGTGCATCTGAGATGAGTCACACACACTTGACTATATTTGAATGCCAGTCAGTCCCATCATCCAGCTTCAAAGAGTGATACCGTCTCTCTCTAGAACATTGCATTCATTTCAAGAGACCTCTGTGTACTAGTGATGCTGTTATTACAAATCAACTTTTACTTTTATAATACTGTATAGAAATTTTCTCAGAGGACTTTGAAGGCTTTTTCTTATTTACTTTCACGTCGAGCTTTTAATATATATATGTATTTGTTTGTTTGTTGGGGGGGGGGGGTGGGGGTGTACAGGTCCCTTCTTTTATGTTGTAGAATAGCTGGTGGAATTATACTAGTAAGGGAAATGACCAATATCAGTATAGTATTGTAGTAAGTTCTGCTGCTGTTACAACTAGGTAAACATTTCTGATACTTCTGCTATTACATCTAATTTTTCATTTCTTCTGAATCTGAATCTTAAAATAACATGGCTCAACACTCCTGATGGGATAAAATGAGTCGGACTCAGTGTGTACGTGTACATAAAATAATAGAATAATACTGTTGGAAATGCTGTTGTACATGATCCTTGAATACATTAGGATCTTGAATTTAAGCTATGGATGGTGATGCAGAATTCCAGTCTTCAAGTGTTTTATTCTGTTATTAGTAGTTTTGCTATTATTACCACCATTGCTACATCCACTGTCTAATGGTAACAGAAGAAGAGCGAATACCATTCACCTCAAAACTATAAAAAAATCTTTGTAAAATTAAAACGAGCCCTCTATCAAAACATCGCAGGTATTTGTATGCGCTTCCAAATATAGATATTCAAGCCACCCACAGTCATACCAATCAAGAACTCATGATATATCTTTTCAATATCCACTTCTTTGGAATTTTCCTCCCCATGACAAGCTGGAAGAACCTCTCTCTAGGCCTGTTGTCATCAGCTCAAGATTGCCAAATAGCCCGCTATTTCTGATTTGGGAAAAAAGCCCGAAGCTACAAATCGCGTCTTCATCACCTCGAGACTCGAGCTTGAAACTTGAAACTCAAGCTCGAGGTATTTTACTCAGCTTTTGCGCATAGTGCGAGTCTTTGGGCTGGTGAAGACGCACAGGACAAATAGCGGGAAATTTTGCAATCTAGCCCAATATATCTTGGCATGATTATCTCGACCCAATATCCGGCTAATTGCAACTTCCGGCTGATGAGGATGCAAATCAACTGGATAATTTTCGATTGGGATAGTTAAAATAGCGGGATATTTGGCAATCTCGAGCTGATGAAGGCAGGCCTTCTGATATTGAGTTGTATCCTATGAGTATGAAGAGCATTGACAGTCATATGACCTTAGAAGGCAATCCTCCTTTCCATCAAGACCAACAGAATTTTATGAGATGAGAAAGATGGTATCGTCTATTTAGAGCCAAAAGGGCATTAACTCCACACAATAACAGAGCTAGCACCCTTATGGCTGCTAGGAGACGTTATGGTGATGTCGTCTCCTCCACAAATAAACTTGTATATCAACCATACATCATACCATACACATTTTTATGATGGCTGTCCGACCGACCGCAATGAAATGAAATGCTGGATTGTAATTCTTGGACTTTGGGTTTTGCTTGCAGCCTGAGAGGGTAGAAATAACAATCGATAGTCTGAATGCCAGGCCCCCTCGAAAGAGGATGCAAATGAAATTACCTTGAAGTCGAAGATTCACAGTCATGCAGTTAATGTACCCACATACAAAATTTAAGTTATACAGCGTTTTCCTATAGGCTGTAAAGGGTTTAAGAAAAATATTTTTTTGTTAAAGATAGTGATCATGAAGTTAGAATCTTAAATTTACAGAAAGAGCTCAGCTATAAAGTAGAAACAAGAATTTGGAAAGCAAGGTAAAGAGATATGAAACAGAGAGAGAGAGACAGAGAGACAGACAGACAACAAGATGGGTATATGTAGAGACAGACAGCAACCAACAAAGAGAGAGAGAGAGAGAGAGAGAGAGAGAGAGAGGGGGGGGGGGGGAAGAGCATCAAAGAGGATGAGAAAAACAGAGAGAGAGAGAGAGAGAGAGATGAATAGAACCCATCTTATCTTTTGACAGTGAGGGAGAGAGAAAGAGAAGAAATGACAGATTTACATAAATAGCGCCTTGAGCACTTCACAGACTGGATTTGGTGATAAATAAGTTAAATTTATTGTTATTGTTACAAAAAGGTGGATAACAACATTGATGAGGTTAGCATTAAAGGAAATGAAGCCAAAGAGGATCATATTAAACCACAAACACATCTTTGTAATTAATCTTTTCATTGCTGCTCGTTTGCCTCTGTGGAATATGAAGGTCATGTAGAGTCCTAGATATTAATTGCTCAGCAATTCAAGCATGAAATTACACCCGACTCACAAACCACCAACTAATCTCCTACCTAATTCCGAAGCATTATATTCATGTACGCAGTCTGGCAGTCTCTGTATGCATCAGCATTCCAGAGCTGCCAAGTCTCCCGGATCCTGCGGGAGACTCCCGGATTTTGACCCAATATCCCGTTTTCCCGACCCCATGCAAAAATCTCCCGGATTTCCAGATTTTAAGTTGTATTATTTTCATAAACGACTGTTTCACAAGACTAGCATGTTGAGTTCGTACGTACGTATACAAACACACGGCAATTCTGTAATATGAATTTTCCTGTTATCCAGTCGTCGAATATAAATTTACCGTGATATCGTACTTTATTTAACAGCGTAATAAATGAGAGTTACGCCGAACGACTGGCGGGCTAATCTAACAAACCATTGGGAACATGTGATAATGTGAGTGGTGTTTGTGTGATAGCAATTCGCCTGCTTGCTCTGCCGGGCGGCTTCCTCGCCGGCCCCCGTAGCGTCCCGGTACGTTGGTGCCGGTTTCCGATCGGTCGCGTCAGAGCAGCCAGAAGTTGCACTGATACAACAAGCAGACTTTGTCTGCTGCGATCGGCCCAAAAAACTGCACATTTCAACATCAGTTTTTGGATTGATTTGGGGACTTTTGCGATGTGATTTTTAAGTGGATTATCATTTGATACCAA